TGTTTTATACTTTTTTATTTATATATACGTATATTTATATTCATATACGTATTTATATGTAAAAAAAAGATATCTTTTTAATATGTGTATGTACAATCGGTCGTGCACGTGATAAAATTTGTCCTAAGATAATTAGCTAGTTTTCACTCCTTTACATACGACTCATACGATTAGAAAAAAGAACTCGTCAGAGGTTTCGCATTTAATTTTCGTTTTTTCGCTGCGGAATCGTTCCTAATGTATTAATGCGTACTACTAAAACGCGCAGTCACCGAACTACTCTTTGTCTGCTACATCATTATTATTTTGTTTATTTATTTATTTTTTGTTTTGTTTCTTTCTTTTTTTGTGGATTTATCTCGAGTTGGCTGCACAGAAGAGAAAAAGAGCGGAAATGTATGATTACCGCTATTCCGCCGTCGCTTCTCCTACGCAAAAAAAGTCGAAGGTAGTTCGCACGCGACCCTCGTCATCTGCATGCACGTCGGCACAAACGTTGTCTGTTTCGATTTATTATGTGGGTGTGTGTATTTCGAGTGTACGCGTATATGTGTGTGTGTGTATGCCGGGCGCCGCCCTTAAAGCGAAACGGACGATGAGGAGGACTTGATGGTGCGGGGCGCTCGTAGATGGCAGTGTGGTCCCGGGCGCCACCTGGGCTAGCACCAGTCGTCGTCGTCGCTGTCCGAATGCCTGGAGCGCGGCGCTCGTTGTTTAGTCTGTAAAACGAATTTATCATTTGGTTAAAAAATATACTATCTTCGTAGGGATATCTAATGCACATTCATTATTATTATTTTTTTTTTTTTAACCCTTTTATTCAATTTATTTTTAGAAAATTCAAAAAAAATTTTTAAATCAGTTGATATGGTCGAAAAGCAACTTTTACCCTGGCAAAAAATAAATTTTATCACGTGTACCAATAATTATCACATTTTAGCCCATAATCAAGCAGTTCACCTCGTACAATAAAAAAAAAAAAAAAAAAAAAAACATTCTACAGACCGTATGAAACTTATTGATTTATGTATTATACGACTTTTAGCTTTTTTTCTTTATTTTCACGAATTAGTCCAACCATTGAAGGAATTTTTTTTTCCTCAAATATTCTGAAAACAAGAGTTTTTGTTCAGAAAAGTTTTTAAGCACATATAAAAAAAAGTAACTAAAGCAGAGACTTTTTATTTATGTTAAAAAATACACTGTTGGTTTTGAAGAGTCAATAAAAATGTGCACACAGTTGAAGCAAATCGTATCGTTACGTATAAACAATAAACAATAGGAGTACCGTACCTGTGGTTTGAAGCCGTTGGGCACGGGGCTGGGCAAGATCCGTCCGCCCCGGCCCATGGCGACAGCCTGTTCGAAGCTTAGGGGACAAGGGGCTGGGCCGACGAGGGCCTGCGAGGCTAGCCCGTTGGCCGCGGGTGGGCCGGACTGGGGCCCGCCGACAGCCATCGAGCCGTGCGTAGGCGAGGCGTTCAACTTTGGAAAGTTTATGTTCGTCGGGGCCTTGAGCTGCAGCGTCGAGGGCTTGTTCGGTGTGGGTGGCAGCCGACGGCCTTGCCGGCGCGTCACCAGTACTGGGTAGCTGTGCTGGTGCGGCTGGTGGTGGTGATGGTGATGGTAGTGGTGGGGCCCCATGCCCCGGCGACCCGCCATCGGTGACGGCGAGCGCGATCGCTGCTCTAGCGAGGTCGTGCCGTAGCGGTGCGGGTGTTCCATGTGGTCCATCCTATGCACGGGGCTCGGTGAGCGCGCCGGTGACGTCGATGCGCTCCACGGACCTATTTGGAAACACGTTGTTTGCTCGTTACTTCAAAGTATACTTGTCAACGCCTTGGTACTTTTTCGTATTACAATTTACAATCACATTGTTATTTTAGTACCACTATTATGTATCAATTGGACCACCTTAATCGGTCCACTGGTCCAAGTCACCATCATACTTAAAATTATGCTCACACCTTTTTTCTGAAAGTAATACTTTTTCCCTATTTTCAGGAATGAAACTGACACATTGGATCCCAAGTAAAAAATAACGTTATCTGTTTATAGAAAATAATTTTGTCCTCTGCTGTGGAGTACGTTAAAACAATTTCCCATTAAGAAGTGCATTTTTACTTTGGTTTTGTATTCTCCTTAATTTTAAATCGGAAAAGGAAATGTATTTTCGATAGAAGTATAAGAAAAAAAAGTGTCATGCAGTATTTTTCATGACTGTACAGACGACATCCAACATGAAATATTTGTCGTTTATAATTAGTAGCTATGATAAAGAAGACATCTAGCCTTCAAATCAGTGATTTTTCGCAACATGTCTGGATGACAGATAACGCCCACTATGCCGAATCTGAAAAAAATGTTTATTAAATAACAAAATTGGTACTGTAGTAGAATCAAACATGATATAAAGTTTTGTGTATCTGCCTGTCAAAACAACACCAAGAGATTAGATTGTTCGACTTTGCTTCGAGCAAATCATAATAATGAGCGCGTTAAAATCACTTCACACATTTTTCGTAACGAAGTGATGGTTCATAGCCTCTTTTAACAACACTCGCACACTCATACGTAAATTTTATTAATTTTAATAAATATTTTTTATAGATTTGGCATAGTAGGAATCGTCTGCTATCGACCCAGTGCTGCGACAAAAACGCTGACTTGATTCGAGCCCTATTTGTAACATTTGTAACAGCAAAGAGGGTGACTTGGTCACAGTGGTGTATTAACAAGTATTACGTAGGTGGTCATTCTAGTTTCAAATTCAATAGATAAATTTTAGCAAGTAACATCGAAACTATACCAATTAACTCACATTGAAAGAAAAATCAATACTTTTGCCTAACTATTTAGATACTTGTGTTTGGAAGTTTCACCTTTGATATTTAGATACTTATTATAGTTAGAATTATATTACAGAAATATATTTCAAAGTAGTAAGCATATCGAACTATTTGTTGTTGTTTTTTTCGCTTTCACATCATTAAAATCATCCAAAAAATATGTTTGTCTATAAAGTTTCAAAAATATTTTTAAAAAAAGATTAAAATACTGCATCATTCCTTGAAAATTGAAAAAACATTCTCACATGAAAATTACTCAACTCTACGCTGCCTTGCAAAGCTTTACTCTCTATCACAAAATTTTTTATTTGTTTTGTTTCTCTTTGATAGTTTAAAGTGTATAATAATTGATCATTATGTCTTCAAAACCACGTGCAGTGTGCAATTAGTATCTACTTATAATATTTTCTACAAGTGCCAAGTACTAAGGTGTTAGTATGAAATTACATTCTACAATCAAATGTCATCATTATAATAGTTATGCATTATCTAAATTTATGCAAATGTACACTAAAATATGTTACTGTTCGTGCAACTTTTCAGAAAATTTTTTTTGTTATGTAGATCATACACTATTTTGTGCAAACCTTAAATTGTTTCTAATTGTATAAAGATATACTCATCATTGCCATCACATCCCTTCCCTTGAACCGATTTTTCACCAAAATTTTTTAAAATGTAAGTAATTATTAACTTCAGTTGATTAATTATGATTAAAATGAAAAAATTAACATTTTTGTAAAAATCATATGAATCAGAAATTTTTATACTACGTTGAGCTTTAATGACACTTCACTTTTCCATGAAGCTTCTAAATACACCGTGATTAGTTCACAAAACAAGATTTCGTAGATTATAAGCCTAACAAAATCTGTTAAAAAAAATAACAACATTAAAGTCATATATTATATAAATAATTGATGATCCTGAGAATGGGTTTATTTTTATACTTTTAAATTTTTAAAAGAAAATATAGCGGTAAATGGTATAGTTGTATATGTATATAGACTCTGTATTTAAAAATATACATGCTTAATACATATACCGGTCATTCTCAGGAGGCCAACAATTGCACCGCTTACATCTATATTAATTTCGAAAAATAAGAAAAACGTGCATTTGACTTGATGTAAAATCTCTTCCAATTATGATAGTTCTGGCAGTTTAAAAAAAATTTTCATCGTCAAACGTCTTATTTAATCCCATCAGTAAAAGCGAGTGTATCTAATACATGGTGAAATCATGTAGTTAAGTGCAATCTACAAAATTAACCAACTTTGAAATAAGGTAAAGAAAATTAGCAAAAAGCAGCACTTGCAGGATATAGAAAAAAATAGAGAGAGAGTTATGAAAAATGCTTTTGTGAAAGAAATTACCATCGTCGTAATAGTCGCAGTGGTCGTAATAGTCTGTGTAGCGCATAACAGAACAGAATGAAGAAAACTTAGTACATCGATTGACACATTGAGCTATTTTCTTTTTTTTTTTGTTCATATATTTGCGTAAAATCTATCAACAGCAACATTCAAATGTGATTTTTCGTAACTCTTGCTGCAAGTTGTAAATACTCATCAGTGGACGAATAAATCGTAAAAATTATAATAATAACAATAATAGTAATAATAATAATAATAATAATAACATAACCATGTAAGTAGTATCATACTCTTAAGGGTATTCAGTATATATGGTAGTTGCAAATGTCGTATCAAAAAGAAACACTTACATAATAAATGTATAATAAAACGTATACGTGGTGGTAATAATATTAATAATATAGAGCTTGTACGATCATAATCCCTGAAAAAATGAAGGAAAAAAGTTTCGACTTGCAGCGTGAGATTGCTCAAATTTGCTTTGGGCTCGCGCATCGCCGCAGGAAAAAAAAAATAGTTACAAAGAGGCATTCTCTTGCAGTTGCGATACGCACCTCTGATCCTTCGCCTGTACGAGTACTGCGGTGTTTGCGAGTGCCTTTGAATTTCAACGACATTGCTGACCGTGTCGCTGAAGCCTAATCCGTCGTGATACTGATTGCCATGGGGGTCGTACCGTTGCCTCGGTGACGGTGACCTGCAAATGGTACAGATCATCGTTAGTTTCGCCCAATAATGCAATGACAAGTAAACGGCACTACTGCCAAGATAACTCACCTCAAGCTTGGAGATCTAGAGTGTCTCTGCGGATGAGTGGGCTGGTGGTGAGGATGAAGCCGCTCCCCTTGAGTGAGACTTTCGAGGCTGCCAGCTCGCGAGTCGTTGATGGCAACGTCTTGCAGGTCCATCTGAAGCGCGGGGTAGGGAAAAACACAGAGAAGGTGAGTAGGTATGGCACTTTAAGCCCACGCCCAGGTTAATTTTACAACTAGGTGGATAATCAAGATCGAGCTCGGGAAAGAATATGCACGTGTATATTGAGTATCGCGCAACTAATATACACGTGTGAAATCTTCTAGTCGGGATCTCGGTTTGATTTTCATTATTCATCTACAGCTGATTCGTCAATCTTATCTTGGAGATGTCCCAGACAATTGATAAACAGCTATAGCGGTATGTATACACGTATATAGACACATTTGTCGCGATTTTAGGTGCGTATATGCATACGCGAAGAGATGAACATGTCTCGTCGAGGAAGCTCATCGGAACGCCTTTTGCCTCTGACGATGAATCGGCACCCTAGACGAATCATCGCGAGGATGATCCAACCTGGAGCCTATCATATGCATTTTTTTTTTTTAATGATTTTTAAGCTCCACTCAGTATGTTTTCACCACTGATTGTACCCACTAATAAAAAAAAGCTTGTATGGACCTTTTTCAAGGACTTTTCTTTTAACAACAAATACAACTTTTCCTACCTCGGGCGTTTTTATTTTTTTTTTTGTTTTTTTTTTCATTTGCTGTACCCTTGGTAGGAAAAGCAGGAAAAGCGCTATCCAGCAAGGCACTTATGTGACGAAAACAACATTTACTAAGTGCTTATTGATAAAGCGTTTACTATTATAGACAAGATTAATGAATTTTACATTATTTCAGCTAAAAGGGAAGCTTGAAGTAGAAAAATTAGTCAAAAGACAATTTGTGAAAAAGATAGTGTTAATAACTATGAGGCGTAAGTTTTTCTAAGTGAAACTGCTCTGAGTGAAGCAAAAAGTCTTAACGTGGTGGTAGAGGTTGTTGTGGCAATAGTATATAGCTTGCAAAAACGAGCGTTAACGAAATTGTGCATGCTCAAGTAAAAAAGTTGTTAGTAATCGTTAAAAACATGCTCATGCGTCTCTTGCGATTTCAAGAAAAGTTTTAAACTGCTTTAAAATCCTCTGCGTCTTTTGTCATTGTGCTTCTTTCCTGAATTCACCATCCAATGGAATACAGTACTTACCGAGGCCTTCATAATTTTACGAAATTTGCAACACGTGCTTCTCTCTATCGCAATCGACATTTATATGGTTTACATTTTCTTTTCACCAATACTCATAACATGTACACAGACGATTACGAATAGTATGATAAATCTAGTAGTTTTCTGAACGTTGAAAGCAGCTAGGGATGGGTGGGTCGTTCTAGAAAAAAGTTATCGTACGTAAATGTGATATCCATCTAAGTCATCATTTTCTAGTAAAATGTCATCTATAATGAACTGAGGAGATAAAAAGATTAGTTTTTTGGGTACAGGAATGTCATGATAAGTTCTAACTACATTAACCGTCTATTTGTTATTGATTGAAAAGAGATGGATTCTGGAATTTCAAATCATCTAATATTATTATAATCTACGGGAAACCACGCGCCAACTGTTTAAATATTGTAAAATCTATCGTTTTCAACTCTCTATACCTCTAGTAGGTATAAATAAATCTTCAATGTGGTTACAAATTTGAAACAAACACAAGTAAAAATAAAATACATGTATAATAAATATGCATGAAAAAATTCTAGTAGAAATTCTATAAATTCATCTAAAACATGGTTAGTGTCTCTATAAAAAGTTTCTATGGCCACAAAGTCCGACAAGGTTTTATATATACATAAAAAAATTGGGGTTCATTAAGTTGAATCGGAATGAAAATTGTATTGATTGTTGGTTGAAATAAAAATAAACCAATCATCAAAAGAAAAGTGAAGAAGAGAAAGTTGGCTATAGGGGGATATCAGAACCGAGCCTTGAGACCTTGCGGTAACGAATCGAGGACCGAGGTGCGTAGGTGTCGAATTGGCGGCGATGGTGCGAGGATGGTCGATGGTGGTGATGGCGATGATGATGGCGGTGGCGGTGGTAACGATCGCGATAGTGGTGGCGATGATAGCAATGCCGGCAATAATGGCAATAATGGTGGCGGTGGTGGTAATGGCGGTGGCGATGGCTGCGATGATCGTAATCGCGACGTGACTGATCGTAAGGTGGACTATAATCATCGTTGTTGTAATAGATATCGTCGTAGTTGTCGTCGTGATAGTAGTGATACGGCGCTAGTGCTTTGCGATGAAGATGGCGATGATGACGGCAGTACTCGTAATCGTCCCGCAATGGGGCACGGGACTCGGTCAGCAGTGGCTCTAGCTCGGGGCCGCGCTCCTTGCCAATACTGATACTATCGTCAATGTAATCGTCAAAAATTGGCCCACCCCCTCCCTGGCTACTCTCTGGACTGCTCCCTAGTTTATCGTACTGCTGAGACTCCTTCCAGTTCACCTTTTTGCTCCTGAAACAGCCAAACAACGATAGCGTCATTATATTGCCACTGTCTATCTCTGTCTGTCTAAATAAACAAACACGGAAGTGACAAGTAAGCGTATAATATACATATACATGTAAATCAACTCGTGAAGGTTACAAACCTGATGCTGCGCTGACGTCTTTGCTCGGCGGCAGCAAACCTCCCGAGGACTCCCTCCTCCTCCTGTGAGTTCCTGTGGTGCTGGTGGTCTTTTTCATGCACGCCCGGTGGTTCCAGACTATTGGTCCTACTGCCGGGGTGATGGTGATGATTGTTTACTCCCATGTGGTTCATCGCTGCCACGTCCAGCAGCGTATCCAAGAAGGTATGGCGCTGCATAGTGAGTAGAAGCGAAACAACATCCGTACGGTCAGACTCGCCATTTTTTTTTCACTCACAACATTGAAAAACTAGCCATTTTGGTTTGTTTTTTTTTTTTTTCTCATGTTTATTATTTTTCATTTATTTATCATATTTTTTGCAGGATCCATCATTTTGCGTATGTACACAGGCACATACAGGCTTTTTTTCTTCGAGACAAACCTTCTCTTGCACTGTTTTCCATTTTCTTGGCTTCGATTATTAATTTTATAATTGCTTTCTTTTTTTCTGTTGATTGAAATTTTTATCACAGTTTTTTTTTCTCCAAATAGCAAATGTAACATCAAGAGACAAAAAGTAGAGGAGCACGAGAGCAGAGAAATCGCAACTATAAATCATTTTTAAAATTTTATTAATAAAATGCTTTTAAACCATGCCAAAAAAAGTGTTGTGATAGATTAGTGCAGAGTGTATTTTATGAGATTAAGATTTTTAAAATTCACATGCACGATCTGACTGTCAATTTGGTTATCGTGATTAAAATTTTTTTTATTTCGTGCCGTAAGAGATCTGTGCTGTTTTTCGACATATTTTCACAATACTTAAAAAAGTGAGAAATCAAGTCCAACCGACGTAAAATTACATATTAAGGTGTTTAATGGACAGCAACGATCTCAAATATGACCAATAGCAGATTGCTTTAAGTGACTTTTAACTGATTCAAGTTATATCTTTGCGTTTACATGGTTTTTGCTGTAGTTATTGTTGTTGTATTAATGCACACTATTCGCTCAGCGAATTGGCGCGACTTTAAAAAATAATGTTTACTTAAAGCCTGTATATGTATGTCAAATAGCGTACACTTTTCAAGTTTGGATGCTGCTTGTTTATGACACACGTGATAGTGTTACAATTAAGTATATTACATTGGTATGGCGTTTTAACCAGTACATTACGCAGTTAGTCATTACTGCAATATACTTTTCATTAATTTCAATACATGCAAAAGCAAACCAATCGACCATGAATTTTTTTACATCTAAATGATGTGGCATTATAATGAATTGTACATGAGGTAGTTCATAAAAAAAATTCATTGTCAAACAAATGTTTGCGCTTATATGTGATAAGGTGATTTTAACACACACGAGGGTGAGACAATCTATTAAACTCCGGGAGTGTACAGGATAAATTGCGATATGGTTTTATGATTGTATTTCTTACTGTATGTTTCTTTTACCTTCCTTACGATCTGTGTGTAAGTTTATGATAGTGTTTTGTTAATCACACTTACTTATATATTGAATGCAAACATGCCTGAGTCATGATTTTCTAGGATGCTGTTGAGTTTTTCGTCAACAATGAAAAAATGACAATTTTTTCATTGTTGACGAGAAAATTTGTTGTTTCGTTTATGTTTTGTTGTTTAAAATGTCTATAGGGAAGTATAGGTTAATAACAAGACAATCTAAGACGGGCCCAAGACATTTACAAGCATAAGTGATAAAATCTATTACGTTCATTCATAAAAGTACTGTATTAATAAAACTAATTGGCAAGATGCGCAAGTAGAATATTTTTAAGACGATAGTTTTCTAGCAATAAATTCTCTTGGTAAGTCTAAATCAACCAGAAATTTATGTTGTTAGCAAGAGGAATCGTTTCATTTGCAATTTCTTTTACTTGTATTTCTCTTGCTGTATTCTAAATTAACTCAGCTAGGTCTACGCTCACTATATACCATCGTGATAAAGTAAACAAGTGTTTGAACAAGTGAACGTGTAAAAAATCGAAAAACGTGTAATCTATATTCGATCTAAGACCGAATAAATTTTGACTAACTAAACTATTTTATCAAAGTAGTGAAGTCGTTTGTAAACAAAGAGTAAAGAAAAAATTAATTTTGTTTTTCCAATTCTAGAAAAAAAAAACAAAAACAAAAAATACATCATATGAAAGAGTACATTTCTGTTCTCGAGGCAAAAGGCGAGCTATAGTTACTAAAATAAAAATCTACGTTCGTCAATGGAACCTTCTAAAAAAGAACATAGAAACAGAGAGAGAGAGATATATATATAAACAGAGAGATAATATAAAGTCAAAAAGACTGCTTTCTTTTGGTTCGTACGAATTACATGATACTTCAAGCGACAGATTTTTTACTTACACATAATACTCTTGCACGAGCCTAAGCGCACAAATACTCGAACCCAGCACATTCGCTTACAACGCTAATCTGCTCGGAAACTCGTAGTATTTGCACTTGATTCATATTCAATTGGGTCTATTTATAAGGTTATACAGACATGTATATATACGTGCTTAATGAAAAATGCCTGGACTCTTGTCTAATACTTTTTGTTCCAAGTACTCGAAGCACTTTTCGAAAGCCTAATTTTACCCAATCTCGCATAGCTAGGACATCAGAGTTACTTTATTTTAACAATGTCATTTTTTATTTTCGTGAAATTGATAAATATATGCGGAGATCGTATACTATTGCTAAGCTATTGATCTATAAATTATTATTGTGTGGTAAATTAATCGTGCGTGCTCAGAAAACAAGTCAAGACCCGTACGTGTCTTGCACTGTATACTCATTCTCAGTAATAGGTACTATGACTATTTAAGCTTCTATTGCTCAAGTATAGATTTTCTAACTATTGTTTCGTCTAACTATTCTTTATAAAATAACTATAACAAATAAAAACAACTATACTTGTGTAAAAATGATACTGTTACTGTTCTATGTAAGAAAGCACAGTGATCGATGTTCAACAATCAGGACTGCAATAAATTGCCCTTTTGTTGTAAAACATTGAAAATTGTGCTGCTCTCAATGTTGAAAAAAAAAAAAAAAAAAAAAAAAAAAAAAAAAAAAGGTGGGAGCATTTAAAAAAAAAAAAAAAAAAAAAAAAAAAAAAAAAAATAGAGTTGATGGCATTGAATGAGACTAAAGAGAAATGTCAATGAAATTAAGAAACTCAACTGAATTTTGGAGAAGTTTTAATGTGCAAAATAAATGTATGCTAACTATAAATGAAAAATGAGCGAAATGAGCAGTTTAGTAAATGATAATTCAACTAAATGTTTGTTTAATAATATTGTAAAGACAAGTTCTTCTCAAAAAGATTTTAATGATAGCTTCAGAAATGTAAGTTAATAATTTCAATTAAAAAATCATTGAAAGTAGAGTAGTCAGAAAAAAAAAATATTTCTAACGAAAGACTGAAAGAAAGAGAAAAACAAGTCTTTCAAGCAAAGAGAGGTATAGTTATAAGCAAATGAAAAAATGAGAGAATGCATAATTAAGCGGAAAATTAACAAAGCGAGAAAAATAATTAAAGATAAGAGAAAAGAGTAAGTACTACCGCCTGGGCTGCAGCTTTATGCCCGGCTTTACCGTTATCGATAAGATTTTCGTTTTCATTATCGTTATCTGTCTGCAAAATAAAGAAAAATCATAAAATAGATCATTGAGAGCCTTGTTTGTCAACCTGCTGTTAAGGATAGTTTCATTTATCTTTTTTGTAACAAATTTACTCCAATATGTGCTTATAATAACCCAATAGGTGAGTCTATCATAACTAAAATAATATCAAAATTAGTCTAACTTATCTAAAGACCCGGCGGTGCCGAGTTATTTTTTTGGTATTTTTTTTTTTTTTTTTTTCATATTTATAGTTTCATTCAGATGAAAGTCAATCAAATTTATCACGCAACACTCAGTCTTCTAATATGGCCTACAAAAAACTTAATTAAACCTCTTGAAATCTAGTTTTCTAGTTCTTACGCAACTTCGACATTGATCTATGTATATGCTACGACATAAATTCACTTTTGTACTATATGTACTCTAATATATACTAAAGGTATAATATTTTTTTTCTATAAATTTTTTTATTAATTATTCATATTGACATTCTACTGCACTTTAAATTGTAGATTTACTACATGAATAGTAGGTTTATCTTTTACACTATCATTCTGTTTTATCATTATTCTAACATTTATTTGGATTTTTGGAGATCTATAGTTTTACTAAACATGGATACTGATGTTTGTTTTGGGAATTTTTACTTCACATCAAATTTTTGCTACTACAGAAATAAATAAATAAATAAATAAATAATTCGACTGGTTCGAATAAAAGAATTATATTGACAAATGCTTGATTATCGATCACAGGGAAAATTCATTGATTATCACTTCATCATTTGTGCGTCAAATAAAATGTTTATTAAAATACCGTTATACCGTACAATTATGATGAAACGATAATTCCAATAAACTCTAACAATTCACTCCAAATAATTTGGATCAAGTACACTTTTACAAAAATTTCAGCACTATGGACCGTAATAATTTTTAGGTCTCCATTTTCCTTAAAAATATGCAAAATATTGTTATCATCTTTAATAATGATCATCAATCATTAAAAATTTTTAATTTAATGAATCAAATTAGACAAATGAAGACCTGAGAAATAAACATAAAANAAAAAAAAAACAACTATCTAAAAGCGGCATTTTAACATCTGGATTAGCTATATATATACGTAAACAATTTTCACACACTGGCCGTCAACTCCTACAACGAAGAAGCCAACGACGAACATTCATTCAGACATGAAAGTAACTTTCATCATGATACTATTCCTGGTATTCAAATTTCATTTTTATTCCTTTCCAGCTAATATTTAAATGTAAATGTCTCTATTCATATTAAAGGGATTAACAGGTACGGTTGGAGTAAAATTGAAATTTGAAAATTAGAGAGTATTTTCAACGATAATTTAAAAAAAAAAAAAAAAAAAAAAACATAATATACTCACACTTATCAGTTATCGTAAATATAAATGTTTATGACAGAAAAATGTCGAAAACTTACCGGAGCTGATTCTTTCGAATGAAACCTCGTAGTCTTCCAACTTTCCAGGATTAGCAATCCTGCATAAACCTTACCAACTGTAAGCTTTTCTTTTTTTATCTCTGTAAAGCAAAAGTTGCAATGAATAACCTTCTGCATTCAAACAAAAAAAATTTCTGTTACAAATGATATGTTACCTTCTGCCCTGGGTACTAAAAGATCTAACATTTTCTTAGCCTGTAGAGGCCATATGTTTGTAATAGTGTGCCTTAATTCTTCATCCGCTTGGTCCATTTCATCGGCTATCAAAAGAAATCATCAAAATAAAAGTACTACTCTAAGAAAATAATATCGCAACACCAAGGATGCGAAAAAATGTTTATTCGCAACACTGTAAACTTGAAAAAAAAAAATTCTAAGTGTTCTCAATGCATAGGAGAACAAATCCACGATAGAACAATCGACCGGCTGTAGGTCACAATCCACAGTACCACAAACGGCCAAACGTTTAATCGTAAAAGTGTGCCAGCGAAACCTGCTATCGCAATAAAACTAAAAGGAATTTCAGCAAAAATTTCGGTTCTCTACTCGACTATCTCGAAGCAAGCGCAAAACTTGGGTAAAAATAAAAAAAAAGAAGTAAAAATTCAGCCTGCATAGCTATTATATCATCTATCATCACTACTAAATTTAGAGAGCAAGTGGCTGAGCTGCGTGCGGCTTGCTAAATATTCAGAGATTGTGTAAATGACAAAACCCCGAGTCATTGTCACTGATTCTGAAGACTAATTGTTTTACTTTTATCAAATAGCAGTATCGACGTGTGGCGTATGTAAGCTCGTGGACACACACAGAAGGTGCACTTTTTCGATTAAACACCGGACCGAGGACAACACGAAACTCACCGCTCCTCATTTTGATGCTTAGATTTTCTCGTATGAGGGCGAATAAGGTGGTAGTGAAGTTGACCCTGCCGTCGACGTCAAGGGGCATGTTCATGCGAATGAGCTTTTTGTAGGCGAGCCGGTTCGGGCACTTGTTGCCGAAGCCCAAGGGCGGGTCCATGTTCTTGAGCATGTCGTACATCTCGGAGTAGTGGATCTTGCCCGTGGCGTTGGGATCGTACTCGGCCCATATCCTCACGAACTCGTCGAGGTGATGGGCCCCGAGGATCGACGAGTCGCGCGTCAAGTAGTCGAAGTTGTCCATGATGACGGCGACGAAGAGATTCAGCATGAGGAACGAGCAGAAGAAGATGAAGCTCACGAAGTAGGCGTAGGCGAGGTTCGAGCCGCACTTGTCGCCCGTCTCCTTCGACAGTGGGTCGCACGGTTGGTTGGCTATGCACGCCAGCATGATGTTCGGCCACGCCTCGCCCGTCGCACATCTGTACAGGATACGCGCGCGAGAAGGGGAAAAAAGAAAAACGTCCTACTCGTTAGCCCCCAAATCTTGGTTTTTGTTTGTTTGTTTGTTTTTTTTTTTTTTTTTTTTTTTTTTCAACTTTATCTTAACGTTTAATTTGCAGTTTCGACTGTTTCTTTACCACCTCGTTCGGTAGAAAACGAGTTATTACTTTTAATTCTTCAACTTCTACAGAAAAAGTCAAGGAATGATAAAATAACATCAAATCTAATAAAATGAAAAGGAAGGGGAAAAAAAATTACTTATTTTGAGGATGTACAGGGATATCTAGAAAGCCATGCAGTGATTTAAACAAGCGAGCCAAGATAACGACAACGATTGTTTTTGCAAAACCATTGACTGTGAGCCATTTTTAGATCTGAGGTATGAAAACAAAATGAATTTCGACAGAACGAGCAGTAGTTGTCGTTATCGTGGCTTGATATTTCTGATCTTTACTCTACGTGTGCTGACATGTACAGGAAAACTAAGCAACATTTTCATCGACATTGGTTGTTGTTTGAAAGAGTTTGAGATTAATTGATGGGCCGACTTTGAAAAATCCTCGTTGCTTGTAACAGCGTATCGCGTTACATCGTTAAAGATTAAGACACTATAAACACAACACACAAGCGCGTTCGCGAGGAGTATACAATCGTTATGTATATATTTTATTTCCGTAGCTTTCGTGCACGTCACATCTTGATGAGGCAGCACTTACCGAAATAGTAACATCAGACCTTGAATGAAACTCTGAAAATTATTGTGCTTGTTGATCGCGTTTTTCTCCACCAAGGCGATGTTACCGAACACCTGGGTGAAGGTAAGCAGAGTTGGCCGCAGCGAAAACAGAGCGAAAGCACCATTAGAATGAGTTTTGATGATGCAAGCAAATAATGCGTATCGAATTATTTATTTATTATTATTTTTTTTTTTTTTTTTAATTTTGAAAATTTCAATTGTTGTTTGTGTTGTGTTGTGGGTTTCTCCACGTTTTCAATCATTTCCAATTCCGAAAGGTCAATATCTGATGAAGCTGTTTTTTTCGCCTTGGCATTATTTTTTCTAATGTTTTAGGCACTTTACTTCTCTTTGGTCGTGTGCTCTCTCTTTTGCTGGGCCACTGTACTACTGTACTATCTGTATGTATATGTATTTATGCAGACTAGCGGTGTTTAACTATCAGCACTAATTGGCTTTACTTGGTTTCAATGATAAAAATAACAATAAAATCTGTTTCTACGACTATCGCAAATAAACGATGAAAAAAAAAAAATAAAGATATTTCTCTAACATTACTGTATTTTAATGGACTGGGGTCTATTAAATAATGATAAAGTTCAATAAATTACCTAAATAAAAAATTTGTCGAGCAGCTTACTTCTAATGCTACTGTCGCAAGCTCTGACCATCACAAATCAATATCATACGTTCCTTCTTTACCAATAAACTTTCAAATATAAAAAAGTGAGTCAGAAAATCACTCATGTAAATCAAAACGTTTTCTCAGCCTTCTAAGTTCAAAATGAGAATACAATTTATTACTAACTATCAATCATTAATATCAAAAAGATTTTGAGATGTAATTGGCTAAAAGGTGTAAAATATAATGAAGGAGGACATAAAGGAAAATCAAATGTATTCACTATAAAGCAGAATGGGCATTTTGTAAAGAATAATATAATTAAGCTCTTCTAGTTGTTTTACTTAAGAAAAAAGTTCGGCTCTCAATACGTTCACAGTGTTCAGCTGCTCGACTCACCGAAAGAGCAACATAAGACCGCCAAAAAAGGACTGAAAGTTGTTGTGTGATTCAATAGCCGTCGTTGGATCGTTCGCCAGATTTCCAAAGACCTAATGGTTGAAGAGTTTGAGGTATTTTATTTTTCATTGTGTTCTCGTATAACTATTAATTGTTAAAGTTCCCACTTTACCGCTTTTACTTGTTCAGAAATGGTACTCTTTTTTTTCTCTCGTTCTTTTTTTTTATTTTTGGTATTACTTTTGTTTATATTAATCATTGAATGTTTTTTCATGACTTATGATCGAAATGAATGTATTTTCTGTTAGTTGCAACAATTTCTTACCTGCATACCGATGATGGCGTAAATGAAGAAAAGCATAGCTATGAGTAAGCATACGTAAGGCAGAGCCTAAAATATTAGATGAGTTATTAGTGTACATAAAAAACGCACCGTTTTCTACGTTAGTTAAACAATTTTTTCTACTTGGTAAAAAAAAAAAAAAAAAAAATATGCAAGTTTCGCTTACCTTGAACGATTGAACGAAGGTCCAGAGCAATATACGTATGGTGTAACCCTGTCTGAGCAGCTTGATAAGTCTGGCTGCACGAAAGAGCCTGAGAAAGCCGACGTTGATGAAGTTCTCCTGCAGGAGACAAACAAAATTGCACTTAAACACAAAAATCGATGGTTCACGAGCCGACGAGTGAGGAGAGCTCCACGTGAGCAAGAAAAACTGCCCCTAGTATATGTACCGACTTGCGTCACGTTACCCCTGGCGAAGTCGATACTGTGCTTCCACCGGGCCGTAATCTTGCCCACGAGAAGCTGTCGACGTCTCAAACTCTGGCACCTTGTTTGATTTATCTTTTTTTTTTTTTGTGATTTGTATTTTTACTAGATTTAACTCTGACTACGTTGATAAAAAAAATCTACTTATCTACTGGAAAGTATTTACTGCCAAAAAATAATTTTTTCTTTTTTTTTTAAATTATACAATGTTTTTCTTAACGTAAATTATTTTTAGACAGTAATAATAATGTTATCTAACAAAATATTTTTGAGATTTTATTTAATATTGATTAAGGTACTAAATTGTATACTGTAAAAAAGTTCGTACTTAGGACCTTAGGACATTTAATATCTATTATTATATTTTAACGTATTTAATCTAAGTGATGAATTTTTTTTTGCGTTAACTATGTAGAATGATTTTTTACAGTATGTAGACTAAATAAAATATGTAGGGACCGTGTGTTCAAATGCGAAATAAAGATTGCTTCAAAATCAAATTGCTGTTAGTCATCAAATTATTTGCAGAATTTCACAGTAAGAGGCTTAGGGTGTCACACATTCATTTTAGCAATTAAAAAATACGAATAGGCAGTTGAGCTGAAGAAATTCATTTAACAAAAAAGCCAGCGGTTGTCCTGCCAGCTGGTTGAACACACGGTCTAGTATCCTTTTTAATTAAAAATCAACACATATAGCGATTCAACAAGAACAAATCGTTGCATTTCGAAAATATTGTATAATACATTGGTATATTTTAAGAAATATTAATTTTAGGAAACACATTTGGTGACTAAAAATACATGAATTCAATAGTGTTAATAAGTTAATTGCATTAATCTAATTTTTAAAAAGGGATTGAGAGTGGTGTAACAGATTTTTTTTTTTTCATAAATATTCAGGTATCGGTATATGTCATCAAATATATGTATATAGTCTAGAGAATTTTTCTTTAAATTTAGATTCATAAATAAGTTCCGTCAAAAAATATAATTAAAATCGATTACAACCAAAATCTACATTATAGAAACAACCACAGAAGGAATTCTAGCACTAGGTATATCTACATCAACAAGTTTCTATCGTTGCTTCTAATTAAATTTGATTTTTAAGAATCTAAATTTTATCACATGATATTATCGTTAAATATATACACCTACTTTCAACAATATATTTTTCTGACATGGATCAGTTGTGTTCATTTTATGTGGCTATTTAGTACTACAGAACACCGTACGTATAAAAACGTTGGAGCCCAATTTTTATGATTTACCCATAGAGAAAGTAACATAATAGAATATCATACTTAGACTTTCACGTAAGCTTAAACAAGAATTTTTAAAAACATCAATTTTTGGCACAGTAAGCATATCTGTGTTTGTATAATCGGCTAAGCGCGAACAGTTAATAAGTCATTACTTCACACTTTCTTAACCGGTTAATGCAAAATAAGCGAATATATCAACGTCTCAGTGTTGCCAAGTCGGTGATGTACACCTTGCGTCTGTGAAAATCTTGTGTGTTGATTTATCTGAAATTAATAGTCTTAATTTGGTACTGAATAGTTGTGAGATCGTGTGACAATGTGTAAAAAAACGTCAAAATTGTTTTATGTGAAAAATTATCTGACAGTGAGTCTGCGTTTTAATGGTGCTGATAGTAAGCAAAAAAAATGCGAGGTATAAATATCCCAACAAGCCAATAAAAACGTTGAAAACAGTGATACAAACATTCTGTTAACGAAACACATTTCACACACATACATGAATGTCTGCAGAAAAGAAAGATAGAAAATCGTGTATATGTATAGTTTTTATATAAACGATTATTATGCGGAGTATGTAAATATATCTCACCTTTCTACCTTTATAGTAGGTCACTTCCGAATTCTGAAAATTGATGTTTTCTGTTTGAATTTTGTCTATCAATTAAAGTTGAATTTCAGGTGATATCGTTAGTTTGGATGACATACTCGTCATAATACTTTCTAGTTAAGTGTATTTCTGACTGATGTAAAACATAAATTAAAGTGCTAAGTGCACTAAAACAAACAAGATAAAAATAAAAATCCACAATGTATATATATATATATCAAGCGCAACTACCTGTTGTACAAAAAGTAAAATGAAAAATCTTTTTCGATTTATTCATTGCTAACATAAACTTGCAACAGTTAGAGTGACACGGAAATAATTAAAATTTCAATTTTGTGCTGATGATCGAAACAACATAAAAACAATAAATTTTAAATGTATTAAGACATAATCAATATATGAAGAAATGTAAAATATTTCTACCTAAAACATGTTGAATGCTATTTTGTTTACAAACATTCACACGAACGCCATGAAAAAAGATTAATAAATGCATTTGTTTTATGTTATGTTATTAATTTTTACGAAAATTTTCAGCTGCAATGTGTGATGAATGTTTGTATTATGTGGAATGTTTTCTTGAATGTGTTTTGGCAACACTGCTTTACTTTCTGAAATAATTTTTCATATCATGAATTTGAACATAAATGTAAACTTTTTCTATAGTACTTTATCATTTGTATTTGTAAATTGTAAAGGATAATTTGGCTAAAGGTATATTTTTACTAGGATATAAAACAAATGATTCTAATCTAAAATACATGGAGATTTTCTCAAAGATTAAAACTCAATGCATTAGTTTCTATTATTATAATAGCTTTGAAATCATTTAGTTGATACTGAAACCAAATGATTGTTATACTAATGTATCGAGGAAATAAGTAGGTATACAGGATTGAAATTCAAAACTAATTTAATTAATAACGGGGTTGTAGGAACTGATTTCTGAACGCCAACGAACTGCAGATTCCACTAAAGCGGCTTGATTTTACTCTGCGTATATATAGCTATATTAATGTAACAAACGTTTAGATAGTAACAAAACTACGGACGCTATCTGCACGTTTTCTCTGCAACGACTTACCCGTCGCGCGGTCTCTTTCTCATTTGCAAAAATACGCGCTATGCTATCCTGGTTAAAAAAAGATATTTTTCAATATTATCATTTTTCAACTGTGCATGCAGATCCACAAAATGACTCGAAAAAGCTTTTGTCTAGAAATTTTCTTCTATTAGTAACTTTATTTATTATTCATGATAGTTAGAATTGCAAAAGGTATTACTTTGTACTATAAAAATTGTTGATTGATTTTTCGACATCTTCGATAAATATCAAACGAAAAACTGTGAGACGTAGTTTTTCCAGCTCTTTCGTGGCATTTCGTAAATCTGTTTGACAGTTGCGAGGAACGTGCCCAGCAAAATTCAAAAATTCTATTTTGATGAGCACCCCACTTACAGTTAAGGAAAAATTAATTTTGTTGAAAAAAAATAGATCACCAATATAAGTAAAAAAAAAAAAAAAAATGTGCATGTGATGCATAATCATATTGATGAAAGGAGAGGTGAAAGTACATCAGGTGAACTTGAACTTTACATACCCCGAATTCGATGACTAGCGCGTCCACGATACTACCGATGACCGTGATAAAGTCGAACGTATTCCAGGGATCCTTGAAGAAGTTCTACAGCGGCATCGTAAAACAAAATATTCATTAGATGGATTGTATTGATTGCTGAAAAAATGCTATTCGAAAATTCTTTGAGAATGTGCAAAATTATCACTTTAAGAATGTATTCATTATTTAAAAAAAAAAAACATTTAATATTCATTCAAAGTCAAATTTTCGAATAGTTAATACACCTATATTTTTATGTAGACATAACGACTGAATTTTTATCTCGTTACAATTTGAACATCAAATTTTATTAATTTTAAGTGTACCTTGTTTTATTTCGATGTCCGTTTGAATAATTATTCATTTGTCTAAATATTGTGTTTTTTGTACGTGTAAATCTTTGACGGTGTTTTTGTTACGAGTTATGAGTTTTAATATATAATTATGTATGACCCATTTGTGACATGATTTATTTTCATGTATATATACATGCTTATGTGTCATTACAGGAGCGAATAGAACTTGATATCAATTATAGACGTGTGTTTTTCGCTCGCAGTGAATAAAAAAATAATATAAAAGTATTGTATCATATATAAATAGGGTGAACGCGCGACAATGTGAGCAGGTGCGTTTTTCAACTAATGTGTGTTACCAAAGAGTTAAATATATATAAGGCATATTATTAAGGTATACTGCTATATTCGTATACTTAGAGGTCGTATAAATAGTATACATATAAAAGGTGATGGCGTCGAATAAACGACTAAGTAATGTATACGAATAAGAGGATTTCTTCTATTAAAAAAAATATATATCTACGGGAGCATGCCGGTCTTAGCAAGCATTCTAAAAATGTTGTACTGATATGTTGTTTAACGCGTTAGCTTTGATAAAAAAAAAAAAAAATCGTAATAAGCTTATCTAATCATATATAAATATACGTATAAATACTCGGTAAATTACATTAGTTATGAAATCTAAGTGGGTATGTGTCATTAACTGTTAATTGTCTATAAAAACGGTAATCTAACAATGATACTAATAATAGTGATATAAACAACTATTACATTTATGCAGATTATTTTTATCGAGTAATTTTAATACGATTAAGTGTCAACGCACGAGATTACGTTATTTGGATTAAAAACGAATCGTCAAAACATCAATTATACAATTCGTGCACGATTAAGTTGTCTACATATTAAAAAAAAAAAAATCTTAATTGGGGGAGGATAACCTTATCCATCATTTTGCTTAATTCTTTTCTACTCCTCGTTGTATTAATACTGAAAAAATCTGGTCGGTAGATCAGTATATAACGTCAAGTACTTCTTTTGCCATAATGCACTTTCGAGGCATTATTGCAAAAATTACGTCCAATTTGCATTTGCAAGCTCTATTTTGTGTTTCCCTTCGCTCGTTCGTTTATCTCTACACCATGTTTTTTTATTTTTTATTATTCACCATCAGAACACAAAGACGTATTAGTTATAAAACTTTTTTTGATCGTTATTTACAAATTTGATGTGTGGTAGAGTGAAGTGATGAGTAAAGGCTTTATTGTACCTTGCATCCGAAGGCGACGAGTTTAAGGATGCACTCAATGAAGAAAAGGAGGGTGACGACCAAGTTCACGTAGGTCAAGGTGTCCAATAGACCTGGCGGCGCGTCGTGATACTACAAAATACACCCAACACACAGACGTAACACACTCGGCTACTTTTATGCTTGCTTTTCTAGATTGTATTGGTTTTTTTATTTATTTATTTATTTTTTTTTTTGTTGTTGACGTACATGTTCCTACAAAATTCTGTGGTTTAAACACCTAATGTCACCACATAAGAACTTTTGTTTCTGCATATCTTAATGCAGAAAAACCTTACCCTTTATTTTAAACATATTTCACCAAATTTAAGAACTTAGTACATGAATTTATTAAATTTGCACCACCAATCGTGGTAAGTTTTTATCGTTAAACATAAATTGATCCTAAATAATCTAAAATAAAAAATCTTCGAAAAATTTTCGATATTTCAGCTATCTCTTTCTATAAAAAAAAAAAAAATGTAAACTTTTCCGATTTCGAGTCGTCTGAACATGCGAGGACAAATAACAAATAAAATCCATCGACCTCATACTTATCGCTATACATCGAATCAATCAAAATTCATCACAGTCAGTGATAATTATAGATAAATATTTATACAAAAGATAAATCATGCACGGGTAAAAAAGTTCATAGCGTATCGTGCAAGTGATGACATGCCCATGCATCGGCAGAATGTTTCGAAAATGCTTAGGATGTTGGATTCACTTATCAAGGTAATTTTTGTTTTCTTTTCGGTTTTACATATCATGAAGCCGTCTAAGACTTGTTCACCATGTCAGTCTGGATAATACCGAAAAATAAAATACATAATAATGTGAAATGAAGAGATATCTAAGTAGCCAGGATAGACCGAGAGCAGATACAATGAGAGAGAGAGAGAAGATATAGAAACTTAGTAAAAAGATAAGGAAAATATAAGTAATGTGAGCGACAACAGGTTTATGATAATTCGAATGTTTTGATTTTTGTATTTCGCGTATGGGTGTGCAATATTCATGTGTGTTCAGTGTTTTGTGTGTGCTGCGTGTAAATGAATATATTTTGTTACGGTATTTTTATCGATTTTATTACTTTTCTAGACATACGTCATATTCGTGTATGCCCTAGTAACGTGTAAGATCACCGAGGTCCTACCGACCCAATTTCCATCGATTGATGTAATTTTTTATTTTATTCTTACAAAAATGTATCTTGGTCTTTTTTGTCTTGAATTTTTTTTTTTTTTTTTCGTTTATTATGCCTCTTTCAAATTTATTTTTAAGCTATTACGCTCTATATTTTTCATCTACCAAGCGGAACTTACCAGAGTGGAATCGGAAATCAAGTTTTATGACGTTTCTTTCTTGTATCATTTTTATAAATTTGTTTATAAACATATCACATTTAACGACGAGATATATTCATGCAGGTGAAATGCAATGATTATAATCATTCCTGAGGACAATTATTCGACACCAAGTGTAAAAAATATTATTGGCAAGTCGAGAAACGTCATGAATACTCGATCAGCAGACACAAAAAAAGGATGTTAGGTCGAAGACCAGAGGATGAGGTCGGGCACAATTTAGGAGACGGCTGGGTGGATTAGGGTATTTTTTAGGGTATGGAGTTCTTACCCTGACGCCGAACGCGGCGATCTTCATAATGCACTCGACGGTGAACATCCCCGTGAAGCACATGTTCATGTACTTCAGTGTGTTCTTGTACACCTCGCTCTGCCGGTGGTACTGCAATGCACACACTGACAAACACACGGCCGACAAACAAGCTTACGGGCACACAAGCCTCTAGCCAACTTTTTTTATCAACTTTTTTTTTTAATTATTATTATTGCTTTCATATTTAGATCGAGTATTCCTTTCCTTACTTAAAAACAAGTGCTCTCTTTTTTTTCAGACATACTTTTTTTAAATTACTGGTCGTAACTTTATTGCCTTTTACTTTGCTCCAAAAAAATCATATGTCATTAATCTACAAGTAAATATACATTCAAGTATATAATTAGTGCTTTTTTTTCTACTTGAGCCGATAGTATTCTAAACACTGAAAAATATATTGGATACGTTTGTACTATTACTCTAACGATGAAAACATTTTTCTAGCAAACTAATCTTTACTAAATCCACGGAACCATAGTGGATTATTTCTAAGTAACAGGGAAAAAAATTGGCAGGGTCAAAACTATTTGATAAACGCTCAACATTCTTCTCACACTTAATTTTACTGCTACAAAAATTATATACGTATCAGTCATATATTACTTTGATCCTTTTGATGAATTAATGATTTATTTCTGTAAGCCGATAATGAAATCTTGATAAGCAATGGGTAAATAATGATATACTTATTATTTTTATTGTTAAAAACTAACATCGGACATAGCATCAGTAAAAAAAAAAATATACATAAATAAATGTGGAGATTCAGATTTCACTATCGTAAAAATAACTATTATATAAATATCTCATGACTGTTATGGATGTCTGTGTCTGAAAACTCATGAACAAGAGTTACTGCCAAACAAATAAAGTACAGGAAATACTTAACTAAAAGGAATATGCTTATGTATACGATGGTTACCCGTTTCGTATAGGAAAATTAAATTTTTTCAATCAAGGAGAGAAACAGAAAAAATGGTTCAGAGAAAAAGAACAGAATAATGATACCAGGACAAGGAAAAAATGGAGAGTGAATCAGTTAACATTATCTCAATTATTTTATAATTACTTTTTGTCAAGATAGGGATTTAGTATCTTTTTGATGAGAGAATTTCTGCAAAGTGCGATCGCCCCGTGCAACATTGTGATTAAATAAATAAACATTCTGTGAAACCTGGTGCTATATATTGGTGACACGACAGCCAGCATGCGACACTCGTATTTTGTATCATGTACATTCTATACGTGTATATATATACATATACAAGGGTCGTGCTTCGTTTCTTATCAATTTAAATACGAAGAGCAAATAACGACATACCCTTTTTACTTTGATTAGAGAATTTTTACAATTAATATACAAACTTTTCAAAAAACTAAACTGAATAATAAATTTGCTCTCCAGCATTCAAACTTATATGAAAATTGTTTTTTGTGCGTTGGATAGTCAATAAGTAAAGTGTTGGTTAGAAAAACTCGAACACAGTTTTTGATCTAAAAATGGTACCATCAATCAATTGATCCGTTTTTTTTTTTTTTTTTTTTTTTTTAGAAAAACCAGAAAAAATATTCGAGTTTTCGTACGTGATGTAGTAGGAAAGACAGCAATAAAAGCACAACTAGACAAAATAAAATCAGGAAAATGTATGTTAAAATTTTTTATTTGTGTGGAAGGATAAGGAAGACGAGCTTCTTCTTCATGCATCCCGTACGCATGAAAATAGAAAAAGGTATACATATTGCTTGAGTTTGTTGTCGGCTTGCTGTTCGAATTACTCAAGTGTTTTAAAGCGTGTGTGCAAAAAGAACTTCGATAACACGTGTGGTTTTTAATTTTTTCTACAACATTGTGGGAATAGAAAGTATCCAGTTATTATTATCCTTCCTCTGCTCGATAGAGGGGTAGTTATCGTTTTATTTGAAAAGTTTTTTTTTATTGCAGAACCAATAATATATATATGTATATCATGTAGTAAGTCCAGTTAAATAATGGATTTCATAGAGTGCAGAAGCGGTATTTTTAGCGTGATAACGCATTCGTAGAGGTGTCGTCGAGTAAAAAGTAAAATAAGTTCTACTGGCTTTTTTTTTATATTACCATACCGATCATGCACTATTTTCCAAGTAATTGTAAAAAAATTAGGATCCACGAAAAATCAATTGTTATTTATTACTTTTTAGAGAAAAACTGTAGGAAGTTCTGTGGCAAAATAAAAATGAATAGATTTCAATAAAACTTTACAGTTATACCGTTTCTAACCATAGATACCTAATCTTTGTAGTTTCAGAGTTCAGTTCCATTATTTTTTTTTAATCCACTTTTGATCAACAGAATCATAAATAATTTAAAAATATTTTTAGTATTTACTTGAGAACTTTTAAGAGTGAAATAATTCAGATTTTCTTGAAAAAAATTTTAAACTCTTTGATAAATACAAGTATCGAATTAAACACTATATTTGTCAGCTCCAAAGCTCTGATGCTTTTGAAACTCTAGGGATCACTTTTTATGATCATAATTCATTATTTTATGATCATAAATAGAGTACTCCTGAATTTTCATCAAAATGTATTCGTTTTGATTTTGCAACAGAAATTCCTTGACATGATAAAAAGTAGAATACTATAAAGGTGTATATATATCCCCGAAGTTTTTTTTTGATAATATCAAGTTTTGTAGTCTTGTAGACCGATCAAGAAAAGGAAACGATAAAAAAAGATAGCTTTGCTTAGAGGAAAGAAAAAAGAAGCTTGTAAATTTACTACTTGTAGCATTATTCATTTTTAATTTTACATAAGGCTCGAGAGTGAGAAAAATATAGGTCGCCAAGGGGGGATCAGGAAAGTGGAACATTATTGTCATTTATGTTTGGAATAGGTAGATTTCAACAATTTATCAAGTACGGAAAGTGAATATTTTTCCTGTTACTGGTAAATGGATGTTGATTTTGGTAATTAAATCATAAAGGAGATATAATAAAAAATGTATTGACAAACGGTGGGAATAAGGTAAAAAAATACACGAGCTACAAATATTTTGCCAGTAACAAATAGGGACCACAGACATACGTTTGAAACAAATACGTTGGCAAGCAAGTAAACAACGAATCTTTATCTTAAACAAATGTGCGTGATTATATCTTACAATTTTTCTTCTTTTTTATTTATTTTTTACTCTACGATTAAACGAATTTTCAAGAGAAAGCTCTCATTTTTTAATTGTATAGAAACGAAAGTTATTGCTCGATCTCGCAAGGTTGATAGAAATTATTCTTTTGTTTTACTCCAAATAGACATTCACACTTGAAAATCCATCAAAATAAATTTCACTTAAAAATCAAAGTACCTTTTCCTTATTAAACAGTCAATAGTAAAAGTGTAATAATTGACATTGTTAAGTAATGTATAATCATCGAAAAAAGCTCTCATCTTTGAGATGGATTGAATATCATTAATGATAAACGTATGCGAATTTAATTGTATTCAGAGTTTGCATTAACAACAAGCCAAAGATTTGCTTAGCGTGGAGTGCTTACCTTCATCATGAGTAAAAGTGTATTAAGAACGATAAGCATCATGATGAAGTACTCGAAGGGCGTCGACATGACTATCCTCCAGATTTTGTACTTGAAGCTGTTCCGCTCCTTCGGCATGTACCTTTCCAGCGGCCTCGCTTGTATCGTAAAGTCTATACAAGATTTCTAAAAGTGCAAACGACAAAGAAAAAGCAGCGTTAATACGTAGCCCCGTAACTCCCGGACCAAGTCGTAGGTAATTATGTGATCCATCAACCTGGTTTTTGTCAATTTCCCCGTCCTGCAGCTCGGCTTCGCCTTGCTCTTGGAACGTGATGATGATCAAGGCCACGAAGATGTTGACGAAGAAGAATGGAAAGACGATGAAGTAGATGATGTAGAATATGGACATTTCGATGCGAAAATTTTGTATGGGGCCCTTGTTCTCGTAGGTGGCGGCCATGGAGTTTTGCAGGATCTGCGGCCACCCCTCGCCCGTCTGCACCGCGAACAACGTCAGCATCGCCACCATGACGTTGTCGTAATGAAACGACTGCGACTCCCACTTGCGCTCGCGCGCCTCGGGATGCAATTCGTTCTCTTCGAAAACGAAAAACCAGCCCCTAAAAGCACAATGCAACGTTAAAATAGCCAGCCGCGTTTTTTTCAACAATCAAGCACCAATTAGCGTCATTGGGTATACTCGAGACGGTGCTAAAACCAACGTCTACGGCAGCAGTGGTCCGAATGGGGTACACACGCACGGGGGGATTGGGGAAAACAAGGAAAGTGGCGTTACTCACTGGCAGTCCTCTTTCGTGTACTTGCTGTCGTCGGTGCAGAAGAAGAACTTGCCGTTGAACAGTTGGACCGCGATAACAGCGAAGATGAATTGAAACAATATATACACAATGAGGATGTTAATGACGTTTTTCAAACTGTTCACCACACAATCGAAGACCGCCTTGAGCTTCGGCACTCGTTTGATTGTTTTGAGGGGCCGTAGCACGCGAAGCACACGCAGCGACTTGATGGTCGAGAGGTTTTTGCTAGCGGCGCCGCCACCGCTCTCCCCGGCCGTCATGTCGAAGGCGAACGAAACGGCCGCGCACACCACCACTATGGCGTCCATAAAGTTCCAGAACTCGCGCAGGTAGGAGCCCGGGTGCAGTATCAGCCCGAGATCGACTATCTTAAGCAGCATCTCGATCGTGAAGACGCACGTGAACGCGTAGTCAAAGTAATTGAGTATCGTGTTCCGGGGATTCGAGTCGTTCACCGGATCCTCGGCGGCTAACGCTATACTCGACAACGAGATCACCACCATTATGAAGAAATCAAAATATCGCAGATTCACCACCCAGTGGGCGCCTCTCCTCACGCTGCAAACACACGTAATTCATCGGTTGACTCTCCATGTTTTGTCACACTTTTTCCTTGTCTTTTGCATACTCACGGATTCGAAGGTGACAAAATAAACATAGACGAGTATGGCAGCATTGGCTTTGGTCCCGAATCGTCTTCGTCGTCTTGCTTCTTTTCTTCTTCCTTCTCCTTGCCCCCGTCTTTGTCCTTACTGCAAACGAACGAGATTAATGAGTCTTTGGACGGAAGGAAGGATCGCGAATGCTACGAACCAATTGGCAGATGGGCTCGAAGGATCGATGTCTCCTTTGGATCCGTTGCCGTCGCTCGGCTTTTGCAAGGTCTCCATTTCTTTGTCGAGCTCCTGCATTTGCCGTTCCTTATCTTCCTCCTCCTGCTCCTCTTCGGCCGCTGTCAATTCTTGCGCGTTCGCCAAATTATCGACGGCGATAGCCAAGAAGACGTTCAATAGCGTGTAGTTGCCGAAGAGCACCAGGACGATGAAGTAAAGGGAATAAATCATGCCTTTTTTATGGCCACCTTGAGACTGGATGCCTTGGTACATGACTTCGTTCCAATCTTCACCAGTCAATATCTGGAAAAACCGACACAACGTTGTTTTTATATTTTTGATCCATTCTATAAATATATTCATGGCTGATGCCGAAAGTTGGCACTTACTTGGAAGACAGTGAGAAGTGCAATGGGAAAGGTGTTGAAGTTGGTGGGCGGCGTGCCCGTTTCGAAGTTGAACTGACCGCCGAAGAGCTGCATCCCTAGGAGGGCGAATATGAGAATGAAGAGGAAGAGCAGGAAGAGGAGCGATATGATGCTGCGCATCGAGTTGAGCAGGGAAATGACGAGGTTGCGCAGGCTCGCCCAGTACTTGGTCACTTTGAATATCCTGAGGAGTCGGAGTGCGCGTAGGACGGAAAAGCCGAAGGAGCCGGACTTGACGGCCGACCAGATCACCTCGAATATCGAGCCTGAGATGACCACGCAGTCGAACCTATTGAAACTCGACTCGAAGTAGATCCGCGGACCAAGGGCGTACATCTTTATCACCATCTCGCACATGAACAGCCCCAGGAACACGAACTCGGTATAATCTGCCACGCAAAAGCAAACGTGATTATCCATACATCCAATCGTATACATATATATGACAGGGAGACATCGTTTCTACTCACAAAGAAACTCCGTGAGCCAGTCGGGCTGGCCGTAGTGCTCGACTGCCACGCACACGGTGTTGAAGAACACGAGGACGATCACGGACCAGTAGAACCATTGGGTCTTCACCGTGTGCCTGATCCAAAATCGGAACCTCTTTTCGTTTCGCCAGAACTCCGCGCAGGCACCTTGGTTCTTCACCTTCGACTTGAGGTAGGAAGCTCTTCCGAATCCTGCGATAAAAAACACACGCGCGCACCCAGTGTCGGATTAATTTCGTTCCTCTCGCTCGCTGTACCGCTATCGTATACATATACATACGCATGGATATATATATAGGCCAAATTGCTGTACGCCTAGCGCCAAGCGCCGACTTGGGAGTCAAATTATCAATAAAGTAATTTAAAATAATCATATGTATATATAGCTGCTAGGAGTTTTTTTTTTTTTTTTTTTTCATCCAAGCTAACAAAGGGATTGCGTTTTCTATGTGAGAGAAAGATCCGTGGATACGTACGACCCGCGGTGTTACAATGTTGGTGAAAATTCGTTAGATTGTAAGTGGCATTTAGACAATAACGTGACGTGCGTATCCAAACGACCTTTCAGGCTAGCGGACCAGGCTATCTACTGGCAGCTTTGCATCAATTTTACAGGACAAAATTATCGGTAGATGCGTATATAAATATAAGTAATGTATGCAATTTGATACGTATGAATATATATATACTCTCTAAATCTGAATCAGTTTAACTTTACATGATGTTTTCAGTCAACGACAATGTTAAACCTTTGAATGATTTATTGGTTGACATGAGACGCTATACTGCAATTTTTTATTTTGAATTGTTGACTTACAATACAATGGAACTCGATTCGCCGAAGAATAAGTAATCTAATTTATACTGATCAAGCTTTAGAGAGTAGTAAGTGATCGACTTATGGAGCTAGTCTAATATCAATGTAAATCTGCCTTCTGCTAAGACTATACGTAAATATTCAAATATAATATGGTAATGCTGATAAATATGTATCTATAAAATGACATACGTGGGCTATTTACTGACTATAATAAAAGGTACGACAAATATAAAGGAATTTAGTAAATGATGATTTACCATCGCAAGCTTCTTTCGACTATGTATATAAGTACTCGCGCACGAATCTCTATCGATATCGAGCTCGTACGACTACGTACACGGGCACATTGTTTTTTCTACTGTTTAATCTATACTTAATAATAAGCATGGAATTACTCAACACTAAATGTATAAATGTCAACTTTTAATGCATTTTAATATTACAGGATATATGCGTACGAAAAACTAGGGTATACAGGAAAACTATATGTATATGCACTATATTCATGGTATACAGTACTTTAAATCGGGGTAGTGCACTCGCCTTTCGCGACAAACTGCGTTATACTCGCTCCTACGATCAGTTTCGTAAAGTAATACTTTTACATCTTAATGATCTAATACAGATAGGTAGATGCAGCTAAGTAAAAAAAAAAAAAAAAAAAAAAAAAGAAAAAAAAATTACTCTGCTGAGACTAAAGAACTCAACTCTAAGTTTGACAATATGATAAATCGAGGTTCACTACTGACAAGGACAATGAGGTTTGCTATACCAACTGATAAATAAAAAAAATAAGAAAGAGAGACAAAAAGGAGGGGGACAATATTTAATGGATGTACGAGTTACTTATACATGGTTGGATCGGCTAAATGTAAGAGTAAAAAGTAGTAAATAGGATGAAAAAGAAAACTTAGCGCCGTTCGCCGTTGAAAAATGCCACCACACCTGAATCAAAGTACAAACGCAAAGTGCTCGGGTGCAGCAGCGTTTCATATACCTATCCAGTCGCCTTCGTTCGCCGTTGGTATTGTGATTGAAATGAATTTTTTGGTCTATTCGATTGCTCGCAACATTTAGTTTGAATATGATTTACGCCTACGTGATTACAAGCACTTTTTACATGATACAAATACAAAGAAAAGACAAATAGCGCGTTGTTATACGACATACCAATTTCAGCTAGAGAAACAGCAATATTACATTTACTTTGGCAGTAAAATAACAGCTATTGCAACATGAGTGTAGCTTTACTTTTGGAAAAAAGAAATGGCAAAATACAGAAATATAGGTAAGTAATGCGATATCGATGTATATGCGAGCACGAGAAGTGAGGTAACCGATGGAAATAAAACAAAAAGAGCAAATGGAAAATGATGCAACGGAGTACGTAACAATAAAAAATGACGCATCGACGAGGCGGACCATAAAAAAAAAAAAAAAAACATCGAAAAGCCGTAGGCAAATATTTTTCCGTCAATGTCGAATGAAAAACAAAACATTTGTGTAGCACTGCACGAGATGGTGTGTAATTTTAACAGTCGAACGGGTAAAAGAGAGGTTATTTCAAATCAATGTGCCGTCGATTGAAGTATCAGATAGACACACAGACGAACAAATAATTTATAGATAAAGAGCCAGCACCTGCGGGCAAATAAACGCGCGTTAGTGGTGTTTTTGTGCTCGATTGTGTAGGGGAGCGAGCTTTTCGTGAGCTTTTCGACGGTCCGGCTCGTCGCGTGCACGCGCGCGCGTGTGGGTGACACGTGGTGCTTTTTTTTCCTTGTTTATCTTGATTTTTTTTTTTTTTTTTTTTTTCATTTTCATGGATGATATACTTCAGTCAGGAACAATGTTGGAATAAAGTGGAGGGAAGAAAAAAAAAACTTTCAGAAACTAGTATGCTTGAGCCAAGTGTGTACAACATAAATGACGCGCTGTTTACAATACCGCGCACAAATAATTACGTATAAAGTAATTACAACAACGACTGCAGCTTACTGCGCTTAAGGAAATGGACTGGCATATAAAATATATGCTGGTGGTGATATGACAGGTGGTGCGTGGGTATCACTGTGCATATTATGTGCGTGTTTTTAAGTAAGTTTGCGTTCGTGTAGGTATGAGTGTATGTGTAAGTGTCTCATAACATACAGGGGATACATGGCGTGTGTTTTTGTGTGATGCGTGTGCTGCTCGCTTACGTGTCTGTCTTTCTTTTTTTAAATTTTTTTTTTTTTTTTTTTTTTTTTTTTTTTTACTTCACGAAAAGTAATTAATTAGTTTTCGCTCCAATTCCATTAATGCCAGGTATCGAATTAAACGAGCCACCGTTGATGAATATTGCACTGAATTGAAACTTCTTAAATTCAAGAATATATAGTAACTTAAATAGTTCCAAGAAAATGTTTATTTTGAACACAGTTTTTGGTGATATAAAAGAGTGCTACCTTATTGCAAAAGAATATTTGCTTGGTACTACTTTAAAGTAAATATTTTCTTGATTCCATAAGAATTTTTTTTTTTTTTTTTCGTTGTATTTCATGCATATTAATTATTTGTAGAGCAGTTAGAGCAAATTGTTGGAACAACTTTCCCGGATGGACGTTTAACGAAGCACAGCCAGTTTGTACCAACAAACGATGACGGAAATAATACGCATCACCGCAAAAGACAAACCGATGAGAGTTTGTTGGCTCGTCACCGAATTGGGGATGAGCAGCGTATATAGGTACAAAAGACAAACAGACACGCCCGCGAACGCGCGTAAGTGTCTTGCACATTAGCAAATGTTTCAGTTACGAAATACGCATGACAAAGTACCGTACAATACTCGATACTCTCAACGATAAATATCAACACAAACAATTAAGAAAAAAAAAAAAAAAAGAAAAAGAAAAAGTACAATGTAGCTTTTTACTCGTAAACGTTAATAATAATATATAATATAGAGATAGATAAGTAGATAGAGATTTACTGTAGTATGACCTGGATTGTAGTTACCTTTCAGTTTTTTCTTAGGCTCTGAAACAAGAGGATCATCTGATAGCGTGTGTTTAGAATGCTCCTTGGCGAAAGTTGAAGGGGACATGATACGCGGCAACGACAGTATTGTAACATATATGTATATGTATAGGTATATGTACATACGTAACAAGAAAAAAAATAAAAAAATAAATAAATAAACAAACATGAATCCACATGTAATATGTATATATAAGCTTTCACAAAGTGATCCTTTCGACGTGTAAGAATGACGTGGAACGGATTTTTAACAAAACGAATTCTCAATCAACAAACAATGCATGTATCGTAATAAAATATCGTGTAAAAAGAGGGTATATATAATAATGATACTTATAACATAATATATGGTATAGTCATGACGTAATCACAGATTCTAAATGAGATAGTGAAAGTTGATAAGTAAAGAACGATCGATTAACTTTTACACACTAAAAAAATGCAAACTCTCGAATATAGTAACAATAAACTCTTAATGTGCTTGTTGCGAAAAATGGTATAATATACATGTATGAACAATAACAACGTAATGAATAACAATAATATAACGTACTGGTTAATCATATAACACATTTGTAGTGATAGTAAGTAACAGTAACTTCATGACATTAATGTATAATCGTATAATCGTAGAAAAATTAAGTATACAAGAGAGAGAGAGAGAGAGAGAGAGAGAAACTCGAAAACGTAAACTCTCTATGTATGTGAAATATAATGTAGCAAACGTTCGGTAAACGAGAGGTGAGCTTAGAACGGGAAAAATACAACTCACCATCGTCCGGCTCGTCCTCGGCGTCCTCCTCCTCGGTGTCGGTGCTCTTGCTTTTGCCGAGATTTTTCAGTTTTTTCCTCTTGGCCGCCGCTCGCCTCCTCGCTTTGGGATGAAAAAAAAAAGGAAATTTAGTTGAGTTACTCGCGCACCAAGGCATCCAAGTTTTTCCAATAATGCGAAACGTAAAGTTGTGTATATTTACCGTCCATTATGTGCATTTTCTCCTCCTCCGTCGTCCTCTCCTCCGCGAGTATGACTTCCTCTGCAAACACACAATTGACAGTTAGATTATCGTGACTCAAAGCTATGAAATGCACGTTTATAACGTACAGTTGCGTTGGAACGGCTAGCGCGTGTCGATTCATCTACGCTTACTCGGGATACATAAGGACGTTTATCAAAGCCGCAAAACAAATTTTATTAGCTCCCACAAATATACGTATTGATGTATAGTTAACTACTATTCGCGTCGTGATGCACCACCTAACAGCAAATTGCAATGGGTATTCTGGACCGGACTAAATGCACAACAACTTGTGGTATCGTTTAATAAATTTTACAAAGTGTGCAAACAAGTTTTTTTTTTTTTTTTTGTTTTTTCTTGTCAATTATGTACATTGCGAACACTTTTTCAAATAATTGACACAGTAAACAAATGTTGAGAAAAATTTTTCATGTTTTTTAGTACATTTCGTCAGATTCGGTACGCAGTGCTCTCGTAGATTGCATCACCAAGCGAATGGGACCTTCTACTGCAGACTCGAAGATGGCAAAATATTAATTATAAAAAAAATCATACTCTACTATCAAATTGGAATTTAATGTAAAAGCAGTGAGCGCCATCGATATAGCTAAGTTTATCAATGTCTACGGTGTACAAGGTACTGGACACTACTGTATATTTCATCATACGTACTTCGCGGATATTCTCCTTCAAACGCTTACACATCTATATCCGAAAAATGCACGTTTGAATCGTGCGGATGAAAAAAAAAAAAAGGTAAAATATTGCACCGAGGATTAAATAGCTACTAGCTGGGTCTAACCTGCTTTGCAGATCCACTCGACGTAGCCGTTAAGCTCGCGCTCGAGCTGCTGGTGCCTCCGCATTTTCAGAAATATCTGCCGGTTCTCCACCTTTTCCCTCTCCTTTGCGAATTCTCTACAAAGCGTCAACAACAACAACACGATGTACATACTTCTAGCTGATTATACATATATACCAAGCGCAGGACCATCGACACTTAGACCCCATCTTTTATTTATTTATTTTTTTTACGTGATATAAATACATGTACGCAGAGATAGAGTGCATAGCGAGAAGTACACGGATGAGGCGTTAGATGATGAAATGCGAAGCCTAATACGTCAAAGCCCCCCTTTTTTTTTTGGTCCCCCAGTGAGTGACATAGTGGACTTGATACCACAGGCATATTATTTTTGTATACACTAGCGATTACTTTAACGAGATACAGGATTCAACATACGCCCACTACAACGTGTACATAGCGTGGCCAGAAAGATAAATAGTTTGAAAAGCCTTACTGTACCATTAAATTTTAAGTACTCGGTTTGGATTAATCGTTTACTGTAGGGGCGGACTGTAGTTTAATTTCTTAATGGCAAAAAAAAAAAAAAAAAAAAAAAGAAATAATGGTAACAAAAGTTCTGCGCTCCGTTTATCTTCCTGAAGCTCATTAGGGCGCAATTAAGATGAAACTGTCGAGATTCGACGCTTTTATAGAGTGTCTCTACTTTAGCGCGCAGGGGAAAAAAGTGTGTCATTATCAGCGTAAATTCCGCTTCCGTTCCCGGCACTTGTTTTTAATTTAAAATACGAGGTCTGTACAGGTGCCTACTGGTTATTGACAGTGGGAGCGACACGGGATCAGGGAAAAAAAAGGAGATCAGCGAAAAATGAGAAAATAAAAGAAAAAAACCTGCTTGGGTGATCCAGTCTAAGTACGAACTGAAGGCGGTTGTGAAGAGCCGCTTCATCTTTGCCTTTTGATAGGCGGCTCGCCTTTCGACGCGCGTTCTTTCGTTCGAAAACTCCCTAAGAACAGTTACCAACAATTTTGGATGCATTTTTGTGTTTCTTTTTTTTTTCCCCCTTTCCTCTCCGGGTGTCCCACAACATCCGGCCCCTTTTGCTTCAACACTCCCGATTTTTTAAATCATAAACTAAGTGGATTCATGAAAATGAGTTGGATGATCAAAGTTATACATGTGTACGTGAGGAGAGAAAATATACATGTATATATATTCATATATATATATTAATCGCGTAAAGTACAACTGGTTGCCAACTTACCCGCTCAGCACACCGAGAACTAAGTTCAGCATGAAGAATGACCCGATGACGATCAGTGGTATAAAGTAAACCCAGTTGAAACTACTACCGAGAGCGTCATTCGTCTACAAAACATGTCATTGAGTCCTCGTGAAATTTCGTTACTCGTGCAGTAAAAATCAAAACAAATTTGCTTATTAATCGTTCATCGATCGACAGGCCATATATATATCATCAGCACGCAAGTGGTATGCACAGCACGTGTATTTAGAGACAAAGAGAGAGAGAGAGAGAGAGAGAAAGAAATAGTAATGCCACGCACATGTAAATATTTAAAATACATCATATATATATATATATTGATCAGCCGACAGCGATAAGAAAACACGTTTTATACACACACACATATATATGTTTTCAAGTGAATATAAAAAGTTTTGATAGATAAAAGGACGATGCTGTCGCGTTGTTTTTCAACTGTTCCCTCTGGCTTATCATTCATCGTACTTTTAACGCGATGATGCGTTTTTTTTGTAGTAAACTTCGTCAGCAGCGTCCTTGTCGTTATTGAGTAAATAAAAAATATGTATATAGATGCTTCATTTGTCAGACTAGGGGCGTGAAAGTTTACTTTGATAACGAGAGTTGTTTGATTAAAGTTACTCTATGTAGAGGTACGCGTTGAAAATTAATTAATTACACTCGTCCACCGCACGTAACTATAATTTACCATTGAACAAAGTTTGGGTTTGTTAAAATAAAGTATACCTTCAAACGCTGCCCAATGGCGCTAAACTATTCTAATGTGGTGGACAATCACTACTGATTTCAATACAAATTTTATTGAAGAATTTTCTCTAAGATGAAAATGATCAATGACATGAATGATTCACACCCCCGTGTAAATTTACTCGGACTCTGCGAGGAGCGAAAACTTTTTTGCCTTCCTCGGGAGGAGCAACGCAGCCCACGGAGCCCGGCAAATTTACAAGTTTAATGGCCACATGATTTATATACATATATTTTTTTTTTTTTTTTT